TCACTTTCTGAATCCTCAGACGAACCATCATCCTCATCACTTTCTGAATTATCAATATCATCCTTTCTTTCAAGAACTTCATTAATCCAGCTCTTTTTCGGCTGCTCTTCATCAACAGAGAAGGAATCACCAAGATCATCCCCAGAAAAAGCTCTTTGCCTCTTTGTTGATTCCTCACCATCGATTCCATCGTCCCCGTCGCTCAATTCCTCAGTTTCTTGCATCCGCTTCTTACGGTTTGCCTAAGAGTTTTAAAAAAATTGTATCAAGATTAAATGATGTCAACCATCTGACCTTGACAGAACAATCAGATAAGTGAATGCCTTTCGAGAAAACATACCTCAAGCTCCTCCAATTTTTGTCGCTCTTCCTGGGCAATTTCTTCAGGTGTCTTTGTCCTCTCAGTGGGACGAGCACGACGTTCCATTGACATAATCTCCTGAAGTCCTTTATAACTTTCGTCTTCTTCCTGCAGACAAAGGGATCACGTCAAGCAAAAGAAAACTCATGAATCGAGAAGCCTCTTAACACTCATAGCATAGATACAAATGCTCAGTATGAAAACAGCTGCACAAAATTGAACATTGTTCACCTCTGGGATATCAGAAGGTCGATATAAACTCTCCAATACTTCAGAACTTAAGGACATGAAGTCTTTATCCACCTCATCCAGCAGCTTCTCCTTTTCATCCTTATGCTTAGCTTTCTCCATCTAGAAAACCACAAAATAAAACCAACTGTAAATTGACATGCCATGCAAAAGAAGATACAAGGAAAAGAGCGGAATAGTCACCCTGCCAAGTTTGCTCTTCATGATGATCTCTTCCATGACTTCCTTCTTGCTCTTATGCCTCTGCAGAGAGAATCCAAGAATATCAACAAAAGCCAAATGTGTCAACCATCAAGGTAATAACACCCAGGGAGATCTGTTCTTACCTCTTCCTCTCCAGATGGCTCATGCCCTCTGTTTCTGCTTAGATGCTTCAGTCCTACATCAGAAAATGGTTTGACAACATTAGAGTTTAACAAACTCAGACTACGAGAATTTCGATGCAACCGAGAACAATCCAATCTTCTGTGCTACCGTATGTGAATCCAGTATATGACAGCAGACGTGTAATAAAGAATACATACTCTTTGATTCAGAAGCTTCAAGATCATCGTCTTGAAGATCTTCATCTGACAATAGTCCAATATCAAAATCATCCTTTGAAGAAAAACCACCAAGAGCACCATCTTCATAGATATCTTCCTCCCCATCAGATAAATTATACATGTTCTTCTTTGCTAGTTTCAACTACAAGAGAAACAGGAACATTCAGTTTCAATCAATCCAATTGATATAAAAAACAAAAAAAGCTTGCTTGAGGTCATTGAAGCATATGATGATTCTCAAGTTTTGTTTCTCTTCAATAACTGACCTGACGCTCTCTCTGAGAACGAATTATACCCTTGTCGAATTCCCCAATCTCATCGTTTTGTTCTCCAATACGCTTATCCATGAAAACCGAAGATTTCAAGCTCTGTTCGTACTCTTTAAGCAGCGTGTTCTTCCTCTTATCAACAGCACGAGATCGTGAAAGACCAATGCGGCGTTCTTCACCTTTACGCTTCTTACCGAGGACGTCGAACTTCCGGCGAGACCAGATTGACTCAAATGGATTATCGGCTTTCTGGGCTTTGGCTTTCATGGCGACTGCATCTGGTCCCGTCTTTTTGCCGCCTTTTTTGATAGGCTTCTTCTTCGCTTTATACATCTTTCCCATGATTTACTCCGGCGGCGGCGATGACGGTGGCTAGGGTTTACGAAATCTCGAAGAAGGTTTTGGGAGTTTTGCTTTGATATCAGTAAAAAGGCTACTAATAGAAAGAAGAAGACAAGCAAGCGGGCGGGTCGGGTCGGGTCGGGTTTAATTTGACCCCTAAGCCCAAATTTGAATTTCAGGCCCCATTTTGTTTTTTTTCCCCTCACAAGGCCCATTTCGTCTCTTTTGATAAATGGCACATGTTCGTAGTTGCTAGCAATAAATCATGTTTGTTTTACAATCATCAGTAAAACTATATTTGCATGAAAGTATGAGTTTTATTATCCACTTTTTTCCTTTTTATTTAGCATTGTGCTCCTTAACACTTGGACGATAAATGCCCTCAATACTTGGACGATTTAGTGATCACAGGAATATTATGTATCTAGATGCTGCTCAAGGGTTGAAAAAGGTATAATGAAGATGTGATGCATTAGTTCTCTGCACTGGTTATCTTAGCCGAATCCAAAAAGAATGAAAAAAGACTAGTGTTCATTATTCTATTTTACAAGGCCATCTCAATTTTTTTATAAAGCCATAAGCAAAAACAATTTTTTGGGGTCTTTTTCAATATATATATAAAATAATTGAGCCTTTTTTTTAAAGAGATTTTTTAAAAATTTATGGGTGGTGTGCAATAGAACCACCTGTCACCCCTCTTAGACGGCTTTGCTATTTACTTTAAAAGAGCTTTTTTTCGATTTGTAACGAATTCCTATGATGCAAGAAAATAGTTTTCCAAATATAGCATCGGCCTACTTATTTCATCTAATCTAGATGTGCGTCTTAGTTTAGTTTGATATCAACGCGTTATGAAATTTTTTTTTGGCTTTTGTTACATTGGCTTATGAGGAGAATTTTTTTTTTATCTTGTAGTGTATTGATGATAGCGATATCGTCGATCCGAAATTTTACAACATTGAAATTTTGAATATTAAACTTTTAGTCGATAATTGTCAAAAATTGTCTCCAAAAGCCCAAAACATATAGTTGAATCAATAATTAATTACTAAACAAATGACATTTGGTAATTTTCACTACGAAATGAACAATCAAACATATTAGTGATTGTAATTGATGGTCATTATCGCTAATAGTTGGCCAACAAGTACAAAACGGAAAAGAACCAATGAATAGACAACAAGAAATCCCAACACTCAAGTGTCTTACATACAAACAAAAACAAATATAATGAAAGAAGTAAATTACTTCACCCAAAAAAAACAAAGGTAAACTAGTATAATAATTGCACCCACAAGTCCACAACCATGATCTAACGTAAAGGTTACAACTTACAAAAGAAAAAATAAATCTATTAGTTTATATGTGAATCAATAAACAATAGTAATATTCAGGCAAGAAGCCAGAAATCTTTGTGACGCTTAGTTGTAAGAGTGTATCCACCAAGCTTTTTGCCTCTTTTACGAACCGCAATGGCCATACATGGAGAGTTGTTGATGCAATACTCAACGACGTCGGTTTTGTTAATGGGCCTGGCCTGTGAGGCCCATATCATCAACAACCGCCACGTGGCGTGCTGTTTCTTTTGGCCTAGAACCAGTAAAGACGCTCCTCGTTCTTTTGCCTCTTTCACTATGGTCGGACCTTTCTCAGTACCTTCCACAACCACCATCTCTATCTTAACCTAATTCAACAAATTATTATTTGATTTTTTTCTTTCAAGAACCTAGAGTAGCTAGGAAAAGGTATTTTTATAGTAGATAACAATCAAATTACGAATTTTTAAAAATGTTATTAGGTAAAGAAAATGAGTGTGATGATCCAAGAGAGATATTTATAAACCTCAGGTCTTTTAAGCTCACAAATGTTCTTCAAGGCTGAAACTTTTTTATTAGCTTTTAGAGTTGCATGTTTGTCACAAGGTTCTTCTTCTTTTGTAGCTTGAGCACCTAGAAAAAACAAAGCATATATGTATGTAAAAGCAATGATATAATGTGGAAGATTGATAAATAAGAAGAATGAGATAATTGACCTGATTGATCAGAAGGTTTAGCTTTAAGAAAATGGAGAAGAAGAATGGAGTCTTGAGGCTGAGCACAATGGGAAAGAGTCCAAAGCAGAGCGTTCTTAGCCTCTGAGCAAGGATCAACCACAACCATTATTCTTCTTCCTTTGARCTCTGTAGAGGAGCTTGGTGGCTCATGGTTGCAACCATGGTGGCACTGGCTCGTAGTCATCGGTGGTTGGACTCTTACATGAGCCCTTAATCTGTTTCGAAAAAAACCT